AAAAAAGGTATTTAAAAGAAAAAGTCTCACTATTGATGTTTTACCTTTCTGATGTTAAATCGAATTTCTTTTTATATTTAAATGATGCATAAAAAAAAAGTTTGAAAGTTAAATAAAACTATATTAAATTGAAGTGTCAAATTTTTTGGAGCAAATTAAAGAAGTTGGAGGGTTAAATAAAACTATATTAAATTGAAGTGCAAAAGTTTTGGAGCAAATTAAAGAATTTGTATATGTGTGGCCAGATTAAATTAATTACTTTAAACAAACATATTGACCCACTCTCGTCACTTTGTGGCTTCTGTATTAAAATTATTTTTTAGAGGTCAATTGAAAACATGTAAGAAATTGTATTTTTTTTTTATTGAACCATTTTCATTTACTATCTTGAATATTTTAGTAGCTTTTAAGAACTTATCTTAATAAATAATAGTTTATCACTCTTATAACATGTAAAAAGATAAAATTAAGTTTGAACCCACATAAAAGCACATATACCCGCAACTCGCCCCTCCCCACATTAATTTTTTTAAAACCCACTTCAACTCGCCCCGCATCCCACCCGCCTCGCACAACCTTAAATCCGCCCCGCATCCGCCCCCGCCCATTGCCACCGCTATCCAGCTGGTCCCCTTTAACTTTCAAATTTCAAAATTCCTTCCTAAAATGATCGTATAATAATAAAAAAAATATTTAAAAAGATTTGAAATGTTTAGAAATATATAAATACATCTGAGCAGTAAATTCACGATATGTTACGGCCAGTGGCGGAGCCACCTTATAGTAAGTGGTTTTATCCACATCTCTTCGACGGAAAATTATATTATTTATACATAGTTAAAATAATTTTTTAGATATATATATTAGATGCCAACTCCCTTCGACTACTTTGTGTGTCTATTTCTTCAAATTTTAAACCCTTTGTTAATTTTTTTTGTCTCTGCCAATAATTACAATTTACAACTCATCTACCCCTTTCTTTCAAACCCTAAAACGCTTTTCGAACCGTGAAAAAAAATCATTTTGATAAGTTTATACATATTTATCTCTTTTGTCCCAACATTTATCTCTCTTCTCATTCGTATCCCAATTTTGTGAGATCTACCCATTTTTTATACATATTTATCACTATATCTCTTATATTTATTTATTATTTTGATAAGTTTTTTGTGCATAGTGATTTAATTTGTTAAATGGTTTAAGTTTATTTTGCTTGATATTTTTAATTGTATGTAAATCATCATGTTAGTATTATATCAATATTTAATTTATTTTTAATTCATCTATGTATAATATTGATTGCAAATTTGAATATGTACATTTGAATATAACAAAAAAATTAATTATAAATTTTATAGTAGATAATTAAAATAATCATAATATTAGAAGTGCATTAATACTTGTCTTTTTTCTTAATTTGACTCTCAAAAGTATTTTATTAAAAAAAAAATAGAATACAATCCACTTATCAAAAACATTTTTCAAATGAATTAACCAACACAAATTGCTTTTTTCAAAAATACTTTTCTGTAAAAAAAAAATTTTAAAAAAAATACTTCTAAAAATAAGTACTCCCTCCGTTTAAAAAAGAATGACCTAGTTTGACTTGGAACGGAGCTTGAGAAAAGAAAGAAGACTTTTTAATCTTGTGGTTCTAAATTAAAGTTATGTCAAATGTATCAAAATACCCTTTAATCTTGTGGTATTAAACATGCTACGTGGAAAATTGAAGTTAAAGTGTTGCCAAAAAAGAAAAAGGGTTATTCTTTTTTAAATAAACTAAAAAGGAAACTAGGTAATTTTTTTAAAAAACGAATGGAGTAAATTTTAGCAGTAATGCTAAATAAACTCTTTGACTGAAATGATTGAAATAACCACTTGAAAACTGTTGATTGGAACATGAGTGTGCATGCAAAGACAAGATGATAATCAAAGAGATCAAGCAAAGGAAAGGAAATTAATTACTCTCTCCGATCTCTCCGTTTCAATTTGTTTGATTAATTTTTCTTTTTTTAATTTATTTAAAAGAATAACTTTTTTAGTAATTAAATCACCTGACATATTTAAAATTACAAGATATAAATATGAAAGAAACCTTAAAATCATAGACTAGTCTCAAACTTTATTAAAGCCCATTCTATATAAAAGTGTATGCATATATCAATGTATATACACAAACATATGAAAGAATTAGACCAAAAAATATATACCATTTATCCAATATTTAGAAGATTGAAAATGATAATTAGTCATACATATTTTTCTTACACTAATTGCCCTTGATAATTGTAGCTTCATAAAAATTTCATGTGAAGCCTTAATACCATTGTTGAAAAACAATAGTACCACAAACATCAATAAATAAGTATAGAGAATACTTTCTTTAAAAAAAACTCTATTTTTTTCAAAGATTTTTTTAAATCTAATTTAGATTAAAAAAACCTAATGAAAAAGTTGAAAAGATATAAAAAGTATCTATAGAGGAAAAAAAATAAAAATTAAACAATCAAAAATATTGAAAATAAATGGTCAACATTGTTATAACCTATCTACAACAATGAGAGGGAATATTTTCTTAAAATTATTTTAACTAGTAAGAATTAATTAACTAGATGTCAAAATAATAAATCAGTTATAATAAATATAAAAAAAACAATGTTGACTTTGATTTTTCTATATTTTTTATTGTCTTATTTTTTTTTTCTCAATAAATACTTTTTACACTCTTTCAACTTCTTCATTAATTTCTTTTATCTAAATTAGATAAAAATAAAAAATAGAGTTTTTAAGGAAATATTTTATCTATACTTTTTTATTAATGTTTTTTGAGATATTGCTTTTCACAATGAATTAAATGCTTCACATGAAATTTTTAGAAAGTTACAATCATTCTTCACTCTCTTTATATCAAATTGAACAGTTAATGTTATTTTTTATCATTATATTTCTATTACCATTTAATGCTTGAAATATAAAGTGTTTAACTGCATATAATATAGAGTATTATTTATAAATGTATGAATTAATTATAATTAATAGATGTTAGTCACTTGCTTATGATACATTACCTTTGATTTATATATAAAATACTTTATTTATTTATATAAAGTTTGAATTGTTTAATTCAAAGTTCTAAAATATTTATGCTAAAAAATAGATAGTTTTTTTTTTATTTTTTATATATAAATATATATTATTTTTTACTGATTTTAATATCATTTTAAGTGTTACTAGAATTATTTAATTTTTTGGGGCCATAACATTTTAGAGAAATAAAACATATCTTGCTTTATATTTGAGCCATCTTGATGCTAAAATATAATTTGAGAAAATTTAAAACAATATTATGTATAGATATTATTAATATATAATAACAGTACTATTATATACCTAAAGGAAAAAAAAATATACCTAAAGGCTAAAATATAATCAGTTGTGCCTAAATTTGAGATTTTAACGGACAAGAATTGATAAATAGATGCTTAATTTTAGGATTTTATCACTCTATTGATTATTTATTGTATTAAGAATATGTTAAAAGTATCTTTTCATGCAAATTATGTTGATCTATTTTTATTATCAATTTCAAATGTAAAAAAATAGGTCAATGGTAATAATTGTTAAATAATTGAGTGATTTTTATCCTTTGTCTCGAATTCATGAGTTGTTTATAAAATGTTTTTTTTTTCCGTAGAATTCACAAACAATTTATATCATGGCCCAAAAAATCTTTTTGAGAAAACTATAAATTCTATGGGAAAAAATGCTAGATCATGATTTAATTTTTATTGCAAGTTAATGAAATGTCAAAGAACTATCTAATATTTATTTATAAGATAAAAAATGTATGAGCAAAAATTAGATTGAAATCCAATATCATCTGATAGAATAATTTGTAAGGGTTATATTTTCCCTCGTAAAAATTGAGCTAAGTCTAGATAGTGATTTAGATTATTCTCTTTTTTTTTGGTTGTTTTTTTGTATAAATGGACCACCACAAAAAAATTACAACATTTGTCACAATTATAGATTTAGGCACATAATTAGCACAATGAAGTACTTTGCAAAAATAGCACGCTTTATTCCATTTTTTGCCATATTTAAAAAAATTCATATGATTTAAGAGAACTGCTTGAAAAGAAAAAGTCTCATTATTGATGTTTTACCTTTTTGATGTTGTTTTAACACGTATTGAACACTTACTTATTATTTCATAATTTTGTTTTTCTCTATGCCAAATATTTTCATAGTAGTGCTATCTTGTACCAATTTTTCTGCTACGTTTGTCATTTAAATTATGAATATGTGTCATTATGTAATGATATAGAACGATATGATCTATCAAAACATTGTATTCATTAAAACAATTCAATACAATATAATATTATACATTATGAAACAATATGTAACAACAATTTAAACAAAGTGTAACAAGAAATATAAAATTGAAGAATTAAAATGTAACAATATTAAATTAGATGACAACATGTCAAAATCTAAAGTAAGAATCCTATTCCTATGTTACACTTATATAATTCTTTTCATATTAGTTAAGTATTACTTTTTCAATTTTATGAGCGTTTGTGAAGTTACATTATTATTTTGTCGCATCAAATTATTGTAGAAGTCATATATATATTTTATAAATATTTCTTATTAGTTAAATCGAAATATCAATAAAAATATCTTATTAATAGTTTAACATATTTAAAATCGAAAAGGGACACCTTACCAAGCTCCTCACTTTGTGGCAAGAGAAAAAAATCAACGTCAGTCTGAAGTTCTGATACAGCTGGTCCCCTTAATTTTCAAATTTCAAAATTTCTTCCTAAAATGATAAAAAAAAATATAAAATGATCTGAGCCGTAAATTCACTATCCGTTACAGCTCATCCGTCCCTTTCTTACAAACCCTAAAACGCTTTTCAATCTCACTATAAAACACCCCACCCCCTCTCCTCCTTTGTCCCTACATTTATTTCTCTTCTCATTTGTGTTCCAATTTTGTTAGATCTACATATTTTCCTTTCATTTCTGCATATTTTCTCCAGATTTCAGTTTCAAAATGCGTGAAATCCTTCATATTCAAGGTGGACAATGCGGTAACCAAATTGGTGCCAAGTTCTGGGAAGTTGTTTGTGCCGAACACGGCATTGATTCTACCGGACGATACGCTGGTGATTCTGATCTCCAGCTTGAGAGAATTAATGTCTATTACAATGAGGCTACCTGTGGAAGGTTTGTTCCTAGGGCTGTTCTTATGGATCTGGAGCCTGGTACCATGGACAGTATCAGATCTGGTCCTTTTGGACAGATCTTCCGTCCTGATAACTTTGTTTTTGGACAATCTGGTGCTGGTAACAATTGGGCTAAGGGACATTACACCGAAGGTGCTGAATTGATTGATGCCGTTCTCGATGTTGTTCGTAAGGAAGCTGAGAACTGTGACTGCCTTCAAGGTTTGTGTTTAGGCATTTTTTCGAGCATTTCGTTTTCATGTGTTGTTGTTGTTGTAGATCTGTGCAATTTGATGGATTTGTTGACGTTTTCTCTGTTTGATTTTTCCAGGATTTCAAGTGTGCCATTCATTGGGTGGAGGAACAGGGTCTGGTATGGGAACGCTTTTGATCTCAAAGATCAGAGAAGAATACCCAGACAGAATGATGCTTACCTTCTCCGTTTTCCCTTCACCTAAGGTTTCTGATACCGTTGTTGAGCCTTATAATGCTACCTTGTCCGTGCATCAATTGGTTGAAAATGCTGATGAGTGCATGGTTCTCGACAACGAGGCTCTATATGACATATGCTTCAGAACCCTAAAGCTTACCACCCCAAGCTGTAAGTCATTTCAGCATCTCGATTGTGCTTTTCTTTGCGTCATCTATTTGATTATGTTCGATATTTATTGTTAGTTTTTGAATTTAACTCCTTGAATATCTGATTTGTTTGGTTGTTGAAACTTATTGTGGAGCATGTTCCATCATAATATTCACCGTTTTAATCTCCCTTTTTGAATGGAACAGTTGGAGATCTAAATCATCTGATATCAGCTACAATGTCTGGTGTCACCTGTTGCTTGCGTTTCCCTGGACAGTTGAACTCTGATCTTAGGAAGTTAGCCGTGAATCTGATTCCATTCCCTAGGCTTCACTTTTTCATGGTTGGTTTTGCACCATTGACTTCACGTGGTTCTCAGCAATACCGGGCTTTGACAGTACCAGAGCTTACACAGCAAATGTGGGATGCCAAGAACATGATGTGCGCAGCTGACCCACGTCATGGAAGATACTTGACTGCCTCTGCTATGTTCAGGGGTAAAATGAGTACTAAAGAGGTGGACGAGCAGATGCTCAATGTGCAAAACAAGAACTCTTCCTACTTTGTTGAGTGGATTCCAAACAATGTCAAGTCAACTGTTTGTGATATCCCACCAACTGGGCTTAAAATGGCATCTACCTTCATTGGGAACTCAACATCCATTCAAGAGATGTTTAGGCGTGTGAGCGAGCAGTTCACAGCTATGTTCAGGAGAAAAGCTTTCTTGCATTGGTACACTGGGGAAGGAATGGACGAGATGGAGTTCACTGAGGCAGAAAGTAACATGAATGATCTGGTTTCTGAATATCAGCAGTACCAGGATGCCACTGCTGATGAGGAAGGAGAATATTACGAGGATGAAGACGAAGAGGATGTGAATGAGAATTAATTTGGATGATGCCAAACCACAACTTCCTGTTGATGGTCTTTTGGCTATGGCAATGTAATGTGTCTTGATAGCTAGTGCTATCCTGTAATTTTTCAAAGACAATCTGCAGTGTTGTAATAGTAGTACTTCAATTCTGGTGGTTGTGTTCTATCTTGGTTTTATGACTATTAAGTTTCTATTGCTATTTACATAGCTGTCTATATCTTGTTCTATTTCATGGTTAGTAGTTAGTACCTTGATTTGTTGGTGTTTACAAGACTTCGATTTGCAGGTCCAAGTTGGTTGTGGCTCACTGGTTGTAACTTGAATGAGCCAGCAAGCTGGTTGAATCAATTAAGTTGAGAATGAAATTGCACTTGCAGTTTTGTGAAATTTATTACTTGTACTAGAAATTTATGAAGCAGTTTTCCATAGATGTTTTATTTGCTTCTTCCCTGGAGTTAATCTACGGAAACCTGTTTATTTGGTTCAACCATTATCCTTAGAATTGGATCTATGTGCATTTTGTAGTTTATATTCGATAAAGTTTCAATTGTGGATCTGTTTTATTATCATCACTTTACTCATTTACCTCAATTGGATCTGTCTTACTATTTGAATCTGTTAGCAATTCTTACCTCGTAATCAACTGAGGTTTTAAATTTGCAAGGCTTATTATCTAGCTGAATTTATCATGTGAAGTAGTCTATTTACGATTATTAATGACAATTACTTATTAGAGAAATCAGATTATGAATGACTACTCTGCTAAATACATTTATCATAACCAAAAGAGACATGGACAAAGTTATTAGTACATCAGCAAAGGGGTCATATGGTTGGGAGTAAGTTATTTCGGGGTTGACTATTTGAGGATAATTATCCCACCATGTATATGAGATAACTTATCCCATTACTAAGGTATAAATGGTGACAAATAATCTCATGAATACCTAATACCTCCAATCAAACGTAAGGTAATTATACCTTATATCCTACACCAAACGACTCCTAATTGACATTAAAATAATGACATTGTAGGACGTATTGTTCAGTGACATGGTGAAGCCAAGTTTGGACTTTGGACATTGCAGAGCCTAGCATTACTCAACCAATTTTAAAGCCACGCTTGCTTGTTGACCTGAAGGATGATATACTTTGTTAGCACTTAGTTCAATTCTACCTAATCAGGGTATCTGATGTACTATTATTTTATTGTCGGATTTTCTCATGAAAATAGGTGTCAAACACTTCAATATAAAAGTGTATGAAATAGACGTAGCTAGCTAGCGTTTGGTTATATATTTTGAGTTTTTGAATTTGGAAAAAAAAGTTTTCAAAATTTAATATTGTGTTTGAATATGCATTATACTTGATTTTTTTTTTGAAGTTGTATGAGTGGAAGTGAAATTTCACCCAAAATGTAGTCCGGGCTAACTTTTGGAAGTGTTAAAAAAAATCAAATTTAATGAATATATATATATATAATTTTATTTTTTAGAAAAATAAATCTATGGAAAAACTGGAGCTAGTCAAAGGTGAATTGAAGAGGATTTACACCTTGGAGCATTTTTATGGTTCAAAATAAATGATATTTTCAGTTTAAAGATGTATTAATTAATTTTTTTTCATCAGAATTACTCTCTTTAATGAGGTTTTCAACTACTCCCTCTATTCTTAATTACTTGTCCAATTTTTCTTTTTTACTTGTCAATTTTGACAAATCAAGAAAGAATAAGTTTTTTTTTACCTATTAATATTCTCAATTAATCAATTTTGAAAAAGGTAAAACTTCTTGAAAATCTCATTTAATTCATCAACTTCACAATTAATAGGGATAAAATGGTAAATTTACTATGTCAATAATTGTTTTCTTAATAAGTGTGTTAATTTAAAAGTAGACAAATAATTAAGGACAAATGAAAAGGGAGTATCTAGTTTTAAAAAAAGGTTGGGGAAGTAACAAAGAGGTAGTATTGACAAATTAATTCTTTAGTTAGTGTCATTTAATTAATTTTCTTTAAAGATCGATCTGCAACACTCCAAAAATTCATTTATGTTGTGGATTAGAGGAAGTATTTGGATAGTCAAAGAATATTTTCTTTCATTATTATTTTTTAAATATTTTGAATTATTAACTATTATTTTCTTCATTTAAAAAAAGAATAAATTTTTTTTTTAGTTTATTTAAAAAAGAGTGACCTTTTTTTTTCCTGACAATACTTTAATTTTCAATTCTCCATATGACATGTTTAATGCCACAATACTAAAAAACATTTTGTTACAATTGACATACCTTTAATTTAGGACCACAAAATTAAAAAATAAAACTAAAGAAATACTACTTTTTTTTTTTTTTTGTTTCTAAATATAAATATATATTTATATTCTTATGTTGTTTTACCGCTTTTTCATTTTTTTTAAAGAACTTTTTTACCTTTTTTGTTTTGTTTTGAGATAGTCCCGCGCTTATTATAAAGTCCTTCACATTCTCCTGCCCTTTCCCTCCTTATTCATAACTCCAACAAATCACTGCAATTTCCCCCCAAAAATTCTCCGCTCATTTTTCTTCCTTCTTCTTCTCCGATTTCTTCTTAATTCGCACAGATGCAGAAATCGAAAATGGGGAAGCAAACCAAACCAAAAATACCTGAAAACATAGGCAAAGGAAAAGTAACTCCTGTCCAAGTTGCTTTCATCGTTGATCGTTACCTCTCCGATAACCATTTCACCGAAACCCGCTCCACTTTCCGCTCTGAAGCTTCAATTCTCCTATCCAAATTACCCGTCAATGAGGTAATAAATTCATATACATTGGTAGATCCTATCAAAGCGTATCCAAAATTTAAGTTTTATGTATTTTGATTGATTTGAAACTATATGGATTTAGATCTACTATTGATTTTAGAACCTATAATGTTTAAGTCTGGGTTTGCGGCTGTTTTATGTATTAATAAATTATATTGAGAGCTTGATTTTTTTTTAATAATTGTTTTTGATTTTATGTCTTGTGATATTTGAACAGGCGCCGAGGAGTTTATTGAGTTTAGGAGCAATGTTGGATGAGTACATATGTTTGAAAGAGCAAAAAGTGTTTTTGGGGCAAGAGAAATTGCAGGTTCAGAATTTGTTAAGAGGGATGCAAGAAGTTATGAATGGTTATAATGCCAGTGCAACTCTGCTGCTGTCTGCCCCAGTGCCTGCTTCTTCAATGCACAATTCAGGCCCTTTGCTCCAACAAGCTATTGGGTCTTCACCAATTTCAGCAGGTTTCAATTCTGGTCTTTTTATTGCTATTTTAGCTATCCTCACCAAAAAGTTATATATAATTGTCTATGTGTTTGTTATACTTTTTCATTAGTGTTATATCTCATAGACCATAAGTGAAGTCTGGGGAGGTAAAGCATAAACAGATCTAGTCGTACTTCGTGGAGATAGAGATACTGTTTTCAAAAAACCCTTGGTTCAAATGAATCAAATAAAATTAATTATGAATGAGGAAATATGAAATGAAGAAAACATGACAACTAATATGAAAACCAATATAAAACATACAAAAAGAGAACATTAACAACATCATATGGTAATAGATATCAAAAAACAAGAAACTACATGAATAAGCCTAATACTAGGGAAAAGGAAATTGCCAAATTTGTTCACGGGGTTTGCTCAGTAGTTGTGAGTCAGTAGCTCCAAGATTTTGCCTATAATGATGGTATCCAACAAAATAAATTCTAATTGTTTTTGGGTTGTTGATACTCATTTGTTGAGCTGCAAGGTCCCAGACAGGAAGTACTATTATGTCTCTTCATACTTCGGCATTTGTTGAAGGTTGGTTTTCAACATAAATACACTTGGGAAACACTTAGGTCCCAGATTCCCAACTTATATAAATTCTTAAAACCTTAAGATATGTCACCTTGAGTCACAAATTCCCAATTTTGACATCGCGGGAGTTACAAGATATGGAGACATCCTTGTATTTATAAATCCTTAAGACCTTAACATAGTCTCTGTATTAACTTGAAGGACGATGTTGTAGGCCCACGCATCATGATGTTTCCTATTGGCTTTGCATTAAGCTTGTACCAGTAGTTTTTCAGTTATGACTGATGAACTTAAGTTGGATTTTATTCTTCTTTTGACTCTTTCAATCAACTAACATTTACTTTCAACACAAACAACCTATCTAACCTCTCAAAACTTTGTTTTTCTATACACGGATGTGATAGTCAAATTAGGCAATTGCAATAAGCAGTAAAACATTTGCTTGATGTCTTGCTAAATTTGGCTCCTCAATAAAGCCCATTGTGCTTATATTATATTGTTGCGGATTGGACATATATTCACAGATAGAATTGCAGGACTTGGAAGGAAAAAAATAGGGATGTAGCATCACCATTAACAAGATAGGATTGAGTTTGTGTCATTCCCATGATACAATAATGATCCATTGTTTTTTACCTGAAAGATCTACTATTCCATGTTCAATATGCCTATACTATTCCTTAAATGCAAGTATCAGGAGACAATCCATTCTTAGACCACTTATTTTGGACAATTTCTGTAGTGACATTAATCATTATCAAATTTGTCAGGTTATTGTTCTGCATACACTAGTCCAGTTCTTATGTCAGCATCAACACCTTCCAACACTGCTGCTGATATGATGAAATTTACTACTCCAGTTTCCATCCCGACAGCTTCAAAAAGAAAAGGGTCCAAGGATGTTTCAGATGTTTCCATAACTGCCAAAAAATCTCGTACACGGTCACCCACCAATCAGTTGCTACTTAAAGGTAAATTTTATTGATGTTAGACTTTGTGAATCTCATATCTTAATCTTATGGTGATCACTGAGTAGTCAGTACCCTTTTCTTGCAGGTGCTAGTGCAATGCCACAAGATGATAAGCATAACAACAATTTGAAGAGCTCAGCAGTTCAGCCATCAGATCCCATTGATGAACCCAAAAGGTCACCAGCCCAAGGATCTAACAATGCCAAGTGTTTGTCAGACCACCCCATTCAGTCCCCTCTAACTAATTATTCTGGTCCCAAGACACCTCCAATAGAATCGTCATCCCAAACTGACAAATCTATATCCCCACTTGGAATTTGTTCAACAGCAACTTCAATCAAAGAAGCTACTCCCTCTCATCTAATGTCGACTAACCGCATGATAATCTCTTCAGAAACAATTCAAGTGACCCCCACCAAACAAATAGCATACTATTCCATAGAAAGAAATCACTGTGTTTCGACTTCCTCACCAGTTAAAGCAAACTTGACTAGGTCTGTGAGGAGAGATCAAGTAAAAGGTAGGTTAGATTTTGATGCCTCAGACATTCCAAGTTGTTCAGAGGCACCACAAGTTCCTGACAGGATTTCAACATCTGATTCTGAGAAGGAAGGAGATACTTTTGACTTGGATTTATCTAATTTGGATCTTCTGGGTGAGAATTTTAATCTTTCTGAGCTGCTGCATCATTTCGACATTGATGTACAAGGGGTTGATCATTCTTGCCAGGACAAACTGGACTTTTCTCCAGAGTCCTTTTCATGGTATAATTTCTTGTTTTTCTGTCCATGAAGAAAGATTTCTTGTTACATCCATAATGCCAGCTTATCTATAGAAGCTAAGTTTCCATCTAATGTTTAATGCACAGGTCACCATATGAGTCTGGAAATGTCAACATTGATGGAAACCAAATAACATCACAGATTTCATCGACAGTTACCAAAGTCTTTTCAGAGAAAGATACAAGTTTACTAGGTAAAAGGGAATTCTTGACTGTACAATTGAATGTAAACTTCTTTCATGTGAAAGTGATCTAAATATATTTCAATTTTATCATTGATTCTTCAGGTTCAGATACTGTGAAAACTGTGAAATCGGTTACCAAACGTATCCAACTTTTAAGTCCTGGTAAGTGGTAGTTGCTTCACTTTCAGCTTTACTTTTTGTTTTGTACAAAGAGCTAATAGAGGCCATAAGACTAATCGATTCTGTATCATTTTACATCTTTGCAGTTAAGAGTAACAGAAGCTCGAGACATTAGAACTTGTGTGCAAGAAATTGACTAAATTCTTCAACAGATCAATATGGAGGCCGACATGCTAGAATTCATCACAGCTGACCTTATTTATGAAATCCAATAGAATTACCTTTTCAAGTTCTAAATTTCAACTATTCATTCATTTGTAAAATATAAGATGGATTTTGAGTAAGATAGAAGCCTCTTAGGTACATTTTGTCGTTTGATAAACTAAAATGTTTATGGTACATAACTTGCATCACATCAGATGATACATCAAATGAGATAGTTTTCAGGCTAGGTACTTTTCCAGCTTCTCAATTTCTTCTGGGCTTCCAATAAAAATAGGCGTTCGCTGATGTATCTGCATCAAAGAAAAGTAATTAAGGTCCTATGGGCTTACGAAAAACTGAAAAAGACACAACTATGATGTTTGAGCTGTCATACGTTGCTCATTTTTTAATCATTATATCACACCACCTACACCTTAAATTCAATCTTCAACTAAATACTGTTAAAGAATCTTAATTTATGTTTTCCCTGAATGTAAATTTTCAAATTTACCTGCTCAGGCATGATTTCCAGTATCCTTTGGTTGCCATCTGTTGATTTGCCACCAGCTTGTTCTACGATATAGCTCATGGGTGCACACTCGTACAATAGCCTCAAGTTCCCATTTTTGCTGTTCTTGTTCTTAGGATTTCCATATATCCCGCCATACAACAACATTCTGTGGATTTCACCCACGAGACAACCTATGTAACGGCCTGAATATGGCTTGCCATTAGGACCTGGTTGCTTTAAGTGGTCAAGATAACTCTGCAATTTCTCATCCCAGAGATCATAGTTTCCCTCATTAAAGGAATAGATCCTTCCAGCCTTTGGTATTTTGATATCTTCATGTGTCAAAACAAATTCTCCATATGCAGGGTCTAAAGTAAATGCATATACTCCGTTTCCTACCGAGAGTGTGTAGACCACTGAACTTGAATAAAGACAATATCCTGCTGCTACTAAATTGCTCCCTGGCTGACAAACACTGACTATACACTTCTCCCTGGCTTGATCAATCTGAAAATCCAAAATAAAATAAAATATTGCTTTTCAATTTCATTTTATGCAACATTGTACTGAAATGAGTATAAACGGAGTGACATGGACAATGATGATTCATATAGCCGACCCCAACTTGTACTTAAGTTTCATGTTAGAATTGCGAGATTACCGTGGAATCATCATCCATATCTACAAGGCATTGCTGATCTGGACCATAAATTCCAAAAATTGATCCAGTGGTTAAGGCAATATCAATGTTAGCAGATCCATCAATGGGGTCAAACACTACAATATAATTTCCAGAATAAGTTTCTTCAACTGCCACTGGTACATCTTCTTCCTCTGATGCTATAATCCCTGTCCTCCCACTTGATCTTAGACAATTGCAGAACAACTACAACACTCAAAGATTACATTTTTACTGATCAGTGCACTAAACTTCACAATAATCTAAGTGTTAGAAGGTAAAAAAAAAGTAACAAACCTCATTAGATATAACATCAAGTTTCTTCTGATCTTCACCTTGGATATTAACAGTGCCTTGAGTTCCAGTAATGTTAATAATACTAGACCTTTGTAAAAGCGATGCGATTTGCTTGCAGGCTAGTGATATGCTTGAAAGAACTATGGCTAATTCTGCATCTATGTTGCCTGCTTGTTCTTGCTGCAACAACCATGTTGTCAAGTTTACCATTTCATATCTGTTTTTCGGTTTCTTGATCTGTGCTGGAGCTGTTTTTGCTCCTTCCAAGCTCGCTGCTTCGCAGCGAATTCTTGAATTAGGACTGAAACTGCCATGGATGAGATGTTGTGATCTCTTGATATTGGTGGGGAAGAGATGGAAAGTAGGAGAGAGATGAGAAATGGAAGAAGAGCTTGAGCATTTGGTTCCAAGAAGAGCTTCAACCATTTTTTTCTTCTCTATTTCTCTCTATCTCTGAATTGACAACTGGTGTTGCCTGCTTATCTTTTTGCGTTTTGACAATTGTGTGAACATAATTTTATCACAACAATATCTAAAGGTCCAAAATACTAAAGAGCAACTTGCTTGAAGATCAAAAGATGTGGCTGAAAATTCAAGGGATCAAAATGGGGTGTCCCTACAAACCTAACAGAAAGGTGATTTCACTTTTAATGCAAAGAAAAGATGCAATCTTTGGACTTAAAAGAGAAACTTGGGAAAATCAGAAGTTCTTTAGAGGAAAGGATAATTGTCAATACCAAAAAAATCATATATTTGCTCAAAATCTATTTAACTTGCCAAGCTTTTAATTATGGTACTGTTAATTCATGTACTCAAGCTCATTCAGTAGGTTATTTGAAAGACAAAAGGAGCCATAATTTCAATGCTAAAAGAGTCTCTCACATTGGATATATAAAAGGGTAGTTCAGTGCATGAAACATCTCGTGTTTAGCAGGGTTTGAGGAAGGGCAGCACCACTAAAGGTGATGTAAGCAGCTTATCTTGATGCTAGTATAAGTGATTGATTTCACGTCTCGAACCCATGTCACACGAAGACAAGACCTTTTTGGGCTTCTCAAAAACTAAGCTAGTATAAAAAAATTAAGACAAAAACAAAAAAGATGGTTATAAACTATCTCAACCTATTCTATTTGTGTTCTGTCTCAACTAAACTCCTCACCAATACTATTCCAATTCAGTCCATTGAGCCTCGAGCTCGAGGCGACTAAAGCTACTCGATGCTTGCAAAATTTTAAAAATATATGGCGTATAAGTACCATTCCAACTGTATAGTGAATTGAATCACTGCAAAGCTTTTCAAGACTCTATAATCATCCAAGGCTTTGTTCACAGCTCTTCATTTCAAGTAATATACAAATTTACAGCTCTTCATGTGTTTAGTTTGCTTACAAAACTAAAGTAGTTAAAAAACTAATGAATAGCCCCTTCAGTTCACATCTGTATTAAGAAAAATACTTTTCCAATTTTTCAACTTCTTCTATGCTTCCAATGTACAATGGAACGCGTTGATGTATCTGCAATGAAAGAAACGGAAGAAAACAAATAAGCTAACATACTTTGCTTGTTGACAGAAGATGTAGCAGTCAGTTTGTTCTCACCTCAACTGGTTGAATATCAAGAATTCTTTGTTGGCCATCCGATCCTTTGCCACCGGCTTGTTCCACAATAAAGCTCATCGGGGCACACTCGTACAAAAGCCTCAGCTTCCCGTTCCTGCTCTTCTTGTTCCTCGGGTAGCCATAAATACCACCATATAAAAGAGTCCTATGAAAATCACCAACCAAACTGCCAATGTACCTGGCAGAGTAAGGCTTGCCACTAGGACCGGGGTCCTTCAAGTGATCGATGTACTTCTTCAACCTGTCATCCCATAACTGGTAGTTTCCTTCATTGAACGCGTAGATCTTTCCAGCCTTTGGTATTTGAATGTTTTCTTGAGTCAGAATGAATTCTCCAAACATTGGATCCAAAGTGAAGGAAAAGACACCATTTCCCAACGTGAGCACAAAGATCACTGAGCTCGAGTACATGCAGTACCCTGCTGCTAGAAGATTGTTCCCTGGTTGGCACACATTCACTATGCACCTCTGCTCCACAGTGTCAAGCTGCAATTTTGAATATGTGTATTCGATATGGTTAACTATTCAGATGGAAAATTAGGCACCAGAGAGCCAATCAATCTGATACAATTCATAACTTGATAGACAAAAATGATTATAGCAAGTATCTAGCATACATAACAAGCATGACAATAAAAGATCCTACTTCTCCTGAATCTCAATAAGAGAGGATACATAGGTAATCCGGTTTGTACCGTGGTAGAATCTTCAAGATCAAGGAGGCAATCATCAGTTGGAGTGTATATACCAAAGATAGAGCCAGTAGATACAGCAGCATCAATATTTGATGATCCATCAAGAGGATCAAAAACCACGATATAGTTCCCATAGTAACTCTCCTCTACTGCCACTGGTACATCCTCTTCCTCCGATGCTATAATCCCTGTCCGACCACTCGCTCTCAGACAATTAGAGAATACCTGGCCAAGCCATAAGCATCAACCTTCATTAACATCTAGCTCAATACGCCATACTACTAATACTCTAAACGTTTATCTTGAATCTTCCTATGTTAACATCTTACTGCAAAAACCTCAAACTACTGAAGCAACTTGTAGAACAACATAAGATGATCTTATTGATTTGGAGTTAGTGAAAGTCCTAGTTAGATGTACTAACTACAAGAATGAGCTACCTCCGAGTTTTAGTGGGATAGTTGGAATCTCTGTACTCTTAACTAAAGATCTCGGGTTCAAACCTTGAAACTCAAGAACCTTTAAGTAGGAAGCACTTTACCCTTTATTGTGCAATTCAGCAAGTAGGCGTTTGGCCATGCGATTTTACGCTGATTCCATCTCATGATTCCATATCATGAGAGGTGATACCATATTCTCCAAAAACCATGATATGGAATTATATGGTGATTCCATATCATGATTTGAGATATTTTACTACAATAATTAATCCATGAGTTTATATTTTGTTAAAACAACCCCACATTTATATCTACTAACCATTTGTTTCATATGTAAATAAAATTTATAATCACATCGTTACTTTTTAAAATTTATTATTCTCACCAATATAAAATTTTATTATTACTTTAAATTTGGTGAATATAAATGATAAAGTAGAAATTCATTTGGTGAATATAAATAAGAACGAAGGGAGTAATACTTTTTTGATTTTTCATAATAAAAAAAACGTCTTAATCTTATGACTAAGCATAATATTGATAAAAGACAATTTTCATTGGCGGTGCCGCACTTTCTTAATTTTAGTATTTGCAAAATAATCGTTCACATGATTGAAGAATATCAAGTCCAATGGATTGAGGACTTGGGAAAAATTTGATCAATTAGTTATTAATATTTAGTCAAGTGGACTAGTTATAATTTTTTTGATTAAATTTTATTAGAAGTGTT